GTCTACTATGTAAAACATGCAATTGAACACTTGGGCTAAACAGTTCTGGACAAAGATTTGACAGCACTTTGTATAATGTTTCACTATGGAGCAATCTAATCATTCTGTACCATGCTGAAAATGAATCACTTAGCCTTGCAAACTATTTTGAGAGCCTCAGTCTGACAGGTAATAGTTGAACATTTACTGTACCCCCATAGAAATTAATATATGTACGTTTACCATAGAAAGTTAGGAACGTGCACTTATTATTCATTAACATTGGCTGCCACTGGTAGACACTACATGATTCTATATTGTTCTACATACATAACCAGACAGTATAAGCATTTGGTAATACTCTTTATATGGACTAACCATCCAAAAAGTATTACAAAATCTTGAAGAACTCTAGTTTGTAACTTACAACAGGACAAATATGGTTATACTACTTTTCACATAGACTGGTACCGTACTAGCATATAATACGTAACACATACAATAATACACATTTGTATCCCTCACAAAGAATTATACATTTTGAAAACACAATGGCTCCTCTAAAGGACATATTGCAATGTTTCTTAATGCTATATTTTCAGGTTAAGCTGTCTGTATAGCTGAGGATACACATGGAAATGTTTGGTGAGGTGGCCAGTGTCCAAGAAGCGGCTCTTTAACAGGAAGCAGTGACTCATAGGGAATTTGTTATTGCTATTTGTCACAATGGGATTACACTCTTCATATTTCATAATCTCCCAATAGATAAACCTTTGTATAGCTTCTCCTAACAAAAATATGAGGCAGGTAGGAATGGCTATGTGGTAAGGCAAAATAAGAAGATTGTCTCAGGCAGTATTTATCTTATCTCTCTTTATCTCCATTAACTTTATACCTGAACATTACTTTTCTGTGGATGTTTATTACAGTATGTTGGCCAGGCTGAAATGATGGGTCCTCTATAATTTAAATGTTAACCAGTAACCTATGGTCATCTCCCGTAGGTCACTCTATGATCTGCTATCGTTGCAATGAACCCATACTAACCAATACTGTGGTGCAGTAGACAGTTAGAAGGTATTCAGCATTTTGATAAATTTACAACATAACAACTGGTTTACTTTAGGTGCTATACTTAAAGGAGAACTATGGGGTCAGTGTTTTTCCCCATAGTTCTCCTTAGGGTAACGGGAGGACACAAACTAGCGTCCTCCCGTTACCCTAAGCTCAGTATACCGCGAGCTACAGCTCGCGGTATACTGAGACGTCGCAGCCGGAGCGGATCTTGACGTAGATGACGGGATCTGCCCAGCTGCGTGAGTGACAGCTGGCTCTGCCTATCTAGAGGCAGAGCCAGCTGTACCCGCCCCCTCCCCCGTCCGTTCCGCCAGTCAGCGCTGGCAGATCGGAGCGGGGAGGGGGGAATCCAGCCCCTCCCCCTGTCACGGCAGAGAGCCGTGACAGGATTATCAAATCCTTACTATGTACGAGAGCTCATATAAATGTGTATTTAGCTGTGTCCCTGGAGTCCAGTCATTTTTTATATTTCTCTAGCTTAATATTCTTCCTGTGATGAATATCTATGAATGGATGTTCATGATTCTGCCTTGATTGAGTCCTATATTACAGAAGTCATTACACCTCACAACTGTTCTGATTAATTTGGTTTGCTGAAAAAGGACAGGGCTTGGATGGCTCAGGGTAGGGCTTAAAGTATTTCTGTAGTCCAGATGAGCTTAATTAACTGTCAATTCCTTACTGTAACAGGACACCCCTGCTAAGTGCACATTGGTTGGTCACCTAGCATGTAGTTTTGTTATAGGTGGCCAAATCATCCATTAGCTTCCTAAGATGATAATGTCCCTGCCAATGCATCCAGCTCAGCCCTTTACCATGGAGTCACCTGCTACACTAGAAGGTGTCTTACATTTCAAAGTGACAGGCATCCTCATAAAGGTCTGTACTAGGTGGCCAGGCCTGAGAGCTCAGGTGCAGAATTCTGAGACTGCAAAAGATAGAGAAAGACACTGCGCGATTCAAGTGACTGACATCATCTCAAATGTGAAATGTCAATCTTAGGTGGACTAATCCTTTAATGTGTACACAAGGCACAGAGTGCAGGATAGAACATTTACTCATCCAGTGACTTGGACTTTCACATGAAGATTAGGGCTTGCAGTGAGTCACTATAATAACAATTATACTGACATTTTACAAAAGGCAAGGTGACATTTCACAGGTATTTTAGACTGCAAATCTACAGACATGAATTTACACATTTATACAAATAGTAATATAATAACAAAGAAGGGTGTTACAGTGAATGTAAGACTAAAATATTGATCATGAAACTGATTGAAGGTCCATATAGGTCACTGCTTACTAACACAAAACAATAAATAATAAAGGCATTTGAGGAACATAATATAGTTAGCGACAATAAATAACAATCTGAAATATAGACTGAACTGAATTGTTCCAGCTGGAATGTATAGTCACAATTCTACGTTAATCACTGAGCTATTTGTACAATTAGTTGAATGGAAGTAAAGCAAGAGCTTATTCCATCATTTCCAAGGCAGAGTATAAGCGTGTTACTCCTTTCACAATCTACTGAAAATTCTGTACAGGCTGGTGTCTGTTCTGCCGGCCTAGAGTCCAAGAAGTCCACAGAACAGTGTCAGCAATGCTGTGATAACATATGAATGTACAATGTATTATTGCAATCAGAACATGAGCTGTTTTATTGCTTTCTTATAAATGGTCTACAGGGCTCAGCTACACAGAGTGGCCAGATTATTATGACCACCCCATCAGTACTTCGTTGGGCCACAAGATGACTTTGTTGGGCCGCCTCGTGACTCCACGAGATGTTGAAAGGTGATGCGAGGAATCTGACACTGCACTGTTGCCCTTCTGTGGTCTTGTACCAGTCTTGCCTCTCTCCGTTCTGCCCTAACATTGACTAGTCGCTGACGGCCACAATTCGCACGTTCAGACCCAGATTTTCGGCTGACAGTCCAGTCTTTAAACACTTTAACAACAGCAGCTCTTGAACATTTAACGAATTCTGCTGTTTTGCTGATACTCGCTCCATGGCTCAGAGTTTCAACAATCATCCTACGTTCAAAGGCTGTTAAATCGCGTTGTTTCCCCGTTTCTTCAGAAAAAAATTACTTCTACTGTCGTGGTAAACAACCTGCTTCCCTATTTATAATGGTCTGGCCCTCTAGTAACTTCAGCGCAAAATTATAGCTAATTATAGCTAATTTGCCTACAAACGTCAGGTGGTGATAATAATCTGGCCACTCAGTGTATATGAAGATAGACAAAGGAAGTACTAAGAAAAAAAAATCAGTTCATTTAAATTCTAGTTGATATTAAACTCATGTATAAAAGAAGAATAGATACAACTATTAGAAAATAAAATAGGCAAGTAATGATTCAGTGCACAGAAATGACGTACTGTATGTATGACATCAGCACTGATATGAACTATTATTTAGCGGCAATGATGACTAGAAAGATTAAAGGGTCAGTCCACCCACAACTGATGTTTCAATGTGGCTTGTAGGTTGAATTACCCACCAGACTCTCTTTTCAGACTCCAGTGATGAGATCTCTACATTATGACGGGGTTTTGTTTTACCCTACATGATTGATATAAGGCAACACACTAAATACACATTTAAATACATACATGCAGACTGTTTTACCTCCAATATCCTGGATATTTATTGTTGTGATTCATATACCTCTGCTACACAGTAAGGACATGTTCACACCAGTGCATTGTGTTAAAGCATGCGTGTTTAAGTTGCATGGCGTTGAGCAGCCAATTCAAATTTGAATGGGCTGCCAAAGTTCTTCGATGCCCTAGAATTGGGCATGCCTCATTTTTTTTCCATTGCAACACACAGATGGTTTATATGTGTGCATTGTGTCTGTGTATTGGGATGCCAATCAAAATAGTGCTTGAAGCTTCACTGTGTGTTGCATTAAAATGTGTGTTTTTACAATGCGTTACCATAGAGCACTTATATGAACTGCCCCTGACTCCTGGTACAGTGAGAAGGCTGGAGGTGTGAATGTGACACAAGGAAGCTGCACTGCTGAAGCAAGAAATATGTGTGTTACCTGCCTGGCTGGTGACACACGCACAGCTACCGTATGTATAAATCTGATTTGTACAATTTTTTTGTAGTTAAACAGCATCTGTTTTTGAAAAGCCCATTTAGCTGTTTGCCCAGTGTTCCTCCTTATTTTACATGTGAAAAATGTAGCAGAAAGATTATAACTTCATTATTGCAGCTAGAGAAGGGAGATTTTATGGCATTTGCTGGGAGATCTCTCCAGTGGCCTGTCAGAATGATATCATCTTACAAATTCTTTCTTTGGTTCACTGGTGCTCATCTCCAAATAAACAATGATGGATGGACTCACTCTTTAAACTCCTATTGGCTTCAGCGATGATTTGTGTAAATGCCATTATTTATATGGCAAGATTCTAATCATGACAACTCATCACTATAAAAATGAATATGTAATGCACAGAAAATCATAACTTTTACTTATTGGGAGCATCGCATGTGTACAGTGTCCAACGGCAAGTTGCCAGCAGGATTATTGACTTAAAGTAGCTTATTACCAAAATTAGACTGCTTGTATTGCATCAGTCTGATTATTAGGACACAGCAAGTGAAGAAATATGAGTGCAGTGAGACGCTATAAGCTACTTCTAAGTATTCAATAGACAGTAGTGAACTTTATATGTGGTGTGGTGAACAGCTTATCTGCCTCTACTGGGTGGTAAATGCAATTGTGGCCTGACTTGCCATACCACACAGTCAGTTGTTGTATGGTGTGTAACTAGTAATGAAAAGCATGTCACTGTAATTACTAACATCTATTACTGTATATGAATATAATATTACAGTTGCAATCTCAGTTAAAAGCTAAACATGTTATGCAACGCGATCCAGCCCATCACAATATGCACTACAGTATATTTAATCCCCATGGCCATGACCGAAAATGCTATATATACCTAGGACACTATGAATAGTAGTTGCCTATAGATAGTGGTTACACTTCATTTTGTGATGGCTCAGTGTCCTCAATGGCTTTGGATGGGTGAACAAAGGTAATTATTAGCCTTGAATGGACTTTAGACCGCTATGCCTTCGTCTTACTCTTGCTCCTTGCAGCTCCCATTTCGGAGGTCCGTGATCTGTGGAGAAACTGGCAGACTTGAACAGCTTTCCGATCCACCATTCTCACACTCTGCATAAAAAGAAAAAATAGTAAATACAACATAGAAATGGTCCGATCCTTGTATATGAAAAACATAAGAAATAGAGTAGGATTTATATAATATGCTACTTCACAGATGAAGTGCTTATTTCAGGAACCCAAAGAAACCAGTCAAGAGAGATGAACAACTTTGGAAAATTCCTACGTGGGCAATTCAGCACAGACAAAACTGGGATGCACTTTGCCAGGCAGATGGCAGGCAAATGTATGCAGTATTCATGCATAGTGCAGGGCAGCAACCACATCTAGGCAGGAGCTCTCATACCATGTGCTTTATATTGGCACTAGGAGGATGGTTTACTAAAGGCAAAAGCTGTTCACTTTGCGCGGTAATTTTTCCTTAGCTTGGTAAATGTGGTAAACATTCACTTTGCAAAGAATAACCAATCATGTGTAGAAAAAGGAAAATAAAAAAGCTGTATTTTTGTTTGCATATGATTAGATGGTAGAAGTCAGCAGAGCTTCACCTCATTCCCTAAGCTATGAGAAAATGTCCTTGCAAAGTGAACAGCCTATTTACCTTTACTAAATCAACCCCTATATGTCTCCTAATGCTTGCTATGTGCTTGTAAGTGTTTGAATCTTTGATAGTAGAGTGGTTGGCTAGGGGTGGCTAGGGAGGGGTCCCTTTGATGCAGTAGGCCAGCTTGAACAGGCATTGGAATATATGGGAACCAAAAATTCCTATTTTTCCTTAAAGAGGGGTTTATTGGACAGAAATGGAAATAAAAATAATAGCAGTTGTATAGTCACACATTTCAGGTCATGACAATATTCCAACAACAATCCCTGTTTTTATGCAATGTTTTACTGGAGGTGTGTAAGCGTGTATAGCAGTGCATACAGAGGTTTAATTGAGATTCTTAGATGTTTCCAATCTGTCTGGAATATACAGTAGTTCATTTGGGGCATTGCAAGTAACACAGTGGTCGGTGCCTGCAGCAAACCTGTGCTTACATAGACCTTTAGTCAGTTATGTGCAGGACAACAAAAGAATCCCCTGAAACTGACATTTATGGTATGTTTTGGGCTCATATTTAAATGCTTCACTTACAGTGGGCCAGATAATCTATTGCTGGTCTGCCAAATAATTAGGGCATGGAAACATTCTTTTTTGGATGCGCCAAATAATAGTTTAATTTAAAGGGTTTTTGAAAAAAAAAAACTAGTTTACCAATTGTTTAAAAAAAAAAAACACAAGTGTGACATTTCCCACAAAAAGTCTCACAATCTGCAGTAAATAAATAATGGTTCCGAAAACAAGTTTGTCAATATTTGGCATGACAGAGATGTACCGCGGTACGCCGAGAGGATGATGCTGCAAGACAGTTACACATTCAACTATGCACCAAATAAACTATATGTGCTTTACATTCCTCAACAACCGCCACTCTTAGTTTATCTGGCTGATTCTATATTTTCCATGTCTTCATACATCACTTATTTCGATTATGGTGTCTCACCTGAGATATGAGGCGTCCCAGGCACACACAGGCTGATGCGGCCCAACCTGTCACGTGACACCAGTCTGGCCAGTCGTAACCCTTCATCCATTAGTGTCTGTTGCAGTAGCTGTCTACTCCATGGAGATGGGTGTGGGAGAGCAATTGATAGGTCTGTAGGGGGAACTCCAGGTGATGATGGTATTCTTACTGTCACAGCTAAAGAAGACAAAACAAAAAAGGAATTTTTTTTTTTTTCCAAATGCAGATTTTTCTTTAAAATAATCGCACATGTAAAGCACCAAAAAAATTGTACTTTCTATTTGCTGCTGCTTTTAAAAGATCCTTTCAGGGTAAAACACATAATATCAGCTTATATAACTGGTACTTCTTTTTTGATTGTGAACAGCGCCAACACCTACATGATGACTGTGTCAAATTCCTCACGACAGGTGAGAGCAACAGCCTCAGGATGGTAGGAAGTAGAGGTGAAGATTTAGTAATAAAACAAGTGTTTTGTATTAATGGCTGATATGTTGTCTGGAAGCCACAGAAGAAAGACACTGTATGAGGTCTAAATGTTTAGGGACCACTTATGGATCATCATATTTTGTTTCCAAAATCAAAAAGTAGAAACAGCTTGAGGAGCTTTGTCAGCGGGCTTTGGTGATATCAGTTTAAAGATCATTCAGAATTCATTGATAGGTGCATTTGACCTTTTTCCGGCCTGAGCTTAACCTGCTTTAAGTGGGTTTTGCATTCCCATAGATTTGTATGATGGAGATGCAGAACTCACTAGAAGCGAACAAAAGCCTGTCGACACTAAGTGGTTCTAACTGTCTGAGTTCTGAGCAGTGCTCAACCTTCTAAACCTTAGGAGAAAGCCCACAATATGTGCTATGAAATCTCTAGTGAAGCCAATGACAAGACTTTTGCTGACAGGTCAGAATGCTGAGAGTTAAAAGTAGAGGGGGGAAGACTGAGAAGAAGGGTAATCTGTATGGGAGAGCAAGGAAAATACTTTCTCTGTACAGTATATTAGTGTATTAAAGCAGCAGCAGTCCCCACCTTGCAAATGACCATCCATGCTTTCCCCTGAAATGCTGCCACTGTCTTCTTCCAAGCTATGCCGCACCAATGTATTTACCCCCTCTGTTTCCCCTTGCAATGACACCTCCACAACCTGAAGAAAAGAAACTGTCAACATTATCATGAATTATATTATTTCAAGTTAGCTGGTACTAAGTTATACATCACTATACTTCTCTGCCTGATTTCAGCATCACCAGACACATTCAACATTTCAAGGCAGGTTTGAATCTGCCTGGTGCCAGTACTTTTTAGCTTTTAGCAGGGGTGTTCCTGGATCACCATATTACAGGGACAATAAAAGCAGTACCGATTCACAAATTTACAGCGGTCTTAATAGATGGATAATATTTGGTTGCACTGCTATGTATGTGTGTGGTTTGAGTGTGTTGTGTAGCAACAGTAGTAAAGTAACAGCATCTAGAAATATACTTTAGAGCAGCAGTCGCCAACCTTTTGGACCTCATGGACCACTAAATTCATCATTTTAAATCCCGCGGACCACTAATATGAATTTTTTTTAAATATATAAAAATTCTCATATTTTTTGTATCCTCATATATAACTTTGGCTAAATGCCGAAAATGCTATTTTCCTGCCGATAAATCAGCGCATCCCAGGTTTCTTTCCTCCCGCTGGGCGCTGCTCTGTGCCCCAGCGGGGAGGGGAGAAAATACAGAGTGCTCAAACTCTTTCTGTTTTAAAAGGGAAATATCAGGAGGTCTGTTTAGAGCCTTAATATTTCCCCAAAGCCACTAAAAAGTTAAAAAAAAAATATTAAAAAAAAATGAATAAATACAAAATATAAAAAAAATTAAAAAGTTTATACAAAATAAATAAAAATAAAATATTTTAAAAATGTGAAAAAATTAAAATAAAAAAAATATTTGGTTTTGGCCTGACAATTTTTTTATTTTGGTTTTATACACACACACACGAGAATATATTTATCTATGAGGAAACAAAAAATACGAGAATATATCTATATATACATACAGTATATATACACATACATACATAGGTGCGGGTGTGCCTGCAGGAGTGGCAGTGCTGGTGGAGGGAGGGAGGGAGGGAGCGGTGTCGCCCGCCCCGGCCCAGTAATAATATTAATTGTTTCCCCCCTACCAAATCTGTGCCGGTTCAATGACGGCCCAGCCTGCACGGTATCAGAGGGACCAGGGGGGCAATTGCGGACCACCAAATTTTTCTTGCGGACCACCGGTTGGCGACCGCTGCAGCAGCAGTGGTTCTCAACCTGTGTAACCTCAGAAAACACATTTGTCCTTGGTCATTAAGTAGCGACCCAAGCCTCACTGTAATGGAACGCATGGCATTGCGATACCGCGACTTCCGGTGCAGGCGATTTAACTGTGGGCGGAAGGTGCATTTAGGGTGCTATTTAAATGAAAAATGGGTAGTAGGTGCAATTGCGTGGTACAGTGCTTTAATCGCATAGGACTGTCTGATTAACAAACTGTGCTAGTGTGAACAGGCCCTCAAAAACACACAACCACAGAAACATTCTCACACATACACTCCAAAAAAAAAAAAATGTTTACATTTTTTTTAAATTTAGGATCCACCCAGTCTCCCTACTTTACGAGAACTGGAGTGGATCCTCAGCCTGGTTTCCAGTGTGCGCTGCTGTGCGGGAGCCCTGTAGAGATGCTGGGGGCCAGTACATGATGTCACCCTAGTCCAGGCACCTCTACAGGACATGCGAGGAAGCTATAAGCAATGCATGTATGGATGGAGCTCCCTCACGGCCACAGCTCCAGCCCAAACCAACCTTTAGCTGACACTCTGCACCGAGCAGAATATAAATGGCTGCTTGGCGCAAGAACTGACCGTGCTGCACTGGAGCAGGCTGTGAAGCCTCTCACCTAGAAAAGTGGACGGCACAAGGCGACCCACTGAACATGGGGTCGTGACCCACTTTTGGGTCACGACCCACCAGTTGAGAGCCAATGCTTTAGAGTATACATTGAAGTGAATTTATCAACACTAGAGCAGACAAAATCTGGAGCAGTTGCCCACAGTAACCAATCAGCTTATTTTTTCAGTTTGTTCAATTAGGATTTGAAAATGAAAGCAAAAAGCTGATTGGTTGCCATGCACAGTTGCTCAAGATTTTGTCTGCTCCAGTTTTGATAAATTTCCCTCATTGTCTCTTATTGTGTGTATGCTTGCAGAATGATTAAAAAAATGCCAGTGCAATCTCAGTGTCAGGTGTTTATTTCTCTTCCATGTGGCTGGGTTGCATAAATTCGGGGGCCCTTTGATTAAGTGCCAAAGGTGCCATTTGCACTAAGCCCACAAGGAGCCAGGCAATATAATATATCTTGGATTATAAGGCTTTGAAGAAGCCAGTATCACACCCCCAATGCGTCATAAAGCCAAGAAATCCAAAGAGCAGAGTTTCTTCTTTCAGTAGTGAAAAATATCCTTGGCTAAATAACAAACTATGTATTATACAATACTTTAGATCCCCATATATAAGACATTTTGAAACCTAACACAGATGTGATACTTTTCAGAAAAATCCCGATATCACATGTCCTCACAGTGTGTAGCTGTGTTAAAATATGAAGATTTACACAGGGTTATTGACAAAAGGGTGAAGAGTTTGGAGAAGACAGGAGAAGTAAACAATCTAGGACAACATAGCTGAACTGGAAAAAGGCTCCAATTCAGCTCACTTTCCAGTTCAGCTATGTTGTCCTAGATCGTTCACTTCTCCTTCCTTCTCCAAACACTTCACTCTTTTGTGAATAACCCTGACAATCCTGCTTTGCAAGGATAACAGAGTCCCACTAGAGTGACCTCTTTTCTGGGCCACTAATTTTTTATAGTGTATAAATCACTGAAAATGATGTTCCCTGGGAAAAAGGCTGTAGAAGTAATTATAATAACAAGAGTTCCATGTTAAAGGTCAACAACTCTGTTCTGCATATAGGACTCGTCTGAATTAAACATTAGCATTTATTCTCTGTAGGATTCCACAATCATCTGTTGCAGCACGGGGCAATATCAATTATCTGACCACTTTTCATTGAGTCAGCCAACTCCTAGCTTTGCATTGTGAGGAGCAGTAAACCACAACTATTGTGTAGCATTAAAGGAAAACTATGGGCACAGTGATTTTCCCCATAGTTCTCCTAAGGGTCACATGAGGACATAAACTAGCATCCTCCCGTGACCCAAAGCTCAGTATACCACGAGCTACAGCTCACGGTATACTGAGACCGCCGCAGCCAAGACAGATCCCGTCAATACTGTCGAGATCCACCCAGCTGCGTGAGTGACAGCTGGCTCTGCCTGTCTAGAGGCAGAGCCACCTGTACCCGCCCCTTCCCCTGTCTGTTCCGCCAGTCAGTGCTGGCGGATCGGAGCGGGGAGGGGGGGGGGGTATTGTTGCAGCTACAGATTGCTGCTACAAAGTTGCTAGTGTGACATGGCGGGTTCAAATGGAGAAAAGTGGCTCCGGAGAACTGCCAGTCAATAATTCAGTCCACCAACATACACCTATTAAAAAGTACAGGAATATTTTTTGCAATAAAAGATTTGCAGGACATAGGTGTATCATTCCATTACCTCTTGCTTAAGCTGTTTTGCTTGTGGTGCACCCATTTCCTCAGGAGTTAACCTAGAAGCAAAAAAAAATGAAGAATAGATGCTGAAATATCAGTATCGTATATTCCGCATGTATGTGTAAATTTAAAAACTAGGTTGCCATATGCATTGCATTACTAAATACTGGTTTAATGCCATTAATAAAATGTAATTTAAAAGGGTTCCATTCAGCTAATATAAGTATTTTGCTATGCTTATACATTTCTTCAATCTAGATTAGCAGCATTTTGGAAGGACTGACTATTGAGGGCCCTTTAACCCCGTCTGCTAGTCACTCACCTCTAACACTTTTTACCCAATCGAGCTTAGTCGTAGAGTCTCTATGACTAAGGCCGATTGATTGAAATGCATTAGAGGTAAGCGACTTGCACTTGTTTTGAGTTTCACTTATGCAATCACTGCGCGCCGTGGCTCCGCCCCTTTGGGGGCAGGCCTACGGCGTGCAGCATTCATGGATAGCATATAAATGGCCGCAGGAGCGGTCATTTCCTATGCAGCACAGTGAGGAACACACTAGAAGTTGGCTACACCAGGTAATACTTTTGATTTGCAGTTGAAGTCTCATTCTTTCACAATGGTTTTGGAAACAGACATCTACTTATGTTTGTCACCTGAGCACTGCTTGCACTTGCACCTTTTGAGTTTCACTTATGCAATTTGTTGTGACTGTGCATGTTGCATAGTAGGCATAGTCTAAAGCTATGCTCATTGAGCAATATGCATAGTCACAAGACTGCTTTTGTACACACAAATATGAGTATTTTGATAATTGAAGTAATTATTCACAACTTTTTTAAACTTCACTCGTTTATCATTCAGACATATACACACAATCCCTTATAAATTTTACCGTCACTATTCAATACTATGAATATTATATAAATAAAATTAATATGTTATCTATATCACCGCACACAATTATTCACTCATCATTTCCATTAAATCATTATTTCACGTATATTTATTTGTGCCTGTTCAATACAAACCTCCTTTTTTGTTGCCCTCAACTTGTTGTGGCTGCTTTGCTTTCCTGACACGATTCCCATGCATGACTACTTTTATTTGAATAGAGGGAAAACATACCTGAGACACTCGGCCCCCTCCATTTTTCATGTAGTGATGTCGACTGATGGCCCTTCTGGACTCCTCCCATGTAAGCTTGTTAATATCCATGATATTATAATGTGTATATATGTTTGTTTTATATAAGAGTGTAGTCTCTGATTTGCCTCACATGGGTTCTCTCTCATTTAGGATATATAATTTCCCCTGAAGAAGCCCAGTCGGGCGAAACATGTCGGGTTTTATCTGAATGAGTCATCTATTATGTCCTATTTATCTATTTTCAATTATGTAATAAATGAATTCATATTTTTATACAATTAGAGAGTTTATAGTATTTCTTAAAAGCCCCTCCCCTTTCGGTAATTGCATACCTTAAGGTGGAATCTACTCTTTGTATTCTTTTTAGTCAAATCTATTTGGGGTGTGAAATCTTGCTCTCTTTTCTCTCTATTGTTCTAACACACGCCAACTAAAACCTACTTTACAAATAAAGAAGCATTGGGTGAGGATTGGCAGTGTGCGGTTGTCTTTTTGGATTGCATTTGCTGTGGAGTATGGATGGCTCTCTGGCCTGCACCTGCAACAAAGACAAGCAGTGGAACTGTGAAGTGGATGGAGCGGTGAAGGTCTCTCTTTGCATTTGAACTGGATGGTTAAGCACTACAGTGTTTTCATACCATATGAACGTTAAATATCCCGCTAAAGTGCCTTGGAATTAAATGTGGTGCACACATTACATCTACACTGGATCTGTTGTGATTGAATATTGTTTGTGGAGCCAGAGAGAAATGTGTATATTCATTATTGACTAAAACTGAAGGCAGGACTCTTTTTGAATCACAAACTTCTGTTGTGCTATGGATGACTAAGAAACTATCATCAATTTATAATTCATATATGGTGCTGCACTTGTGGGAATTATAGTATATACAGTATGTGCGGACTGTGTATCTACATCCATTTGCATTGCTAACTGATGCATGTTTTCTACTTCATCTGACACTCACAGGAAAATGCCAAAATGTGATATCTTGTTCACTTAAAGGAGAACTATGGGGTTAAGGCTTTTCCCCATAGTTCTCATTAGGGTAATGGGAGGACACAAACTAGCGTCCTCCCATCACCCTAAGCTCAGTATACCATACTGAGATGCCACAGTATACCGCGAGCTACTGCTCACGGTATACTGAGACGCCTCAGCTGAAGCGCATCACGACAATTATGTCTGGATCCGCCCAGCTGCGTGAGTGGCAGCTGGCTGTGCCTATCTAGAGGAAGAGCCAGCTGTACCCGCCCCCTCCCCTGTCCGATCTGCCAGTCAGCGCTGGCGGATCGGAGTGGGGAGGGGGGAATCCGTGCCCTGTCATGGTAGAGAGCTGGGACAGGATCGAGAGGTGAGCGAATGATGGTATGTGTTCACTCACTTCTCAATCTACTGAGCCGACCTGTGACAGTCTCATTGTCACAGGTCGGCTAGAACTATGAGGTGAGTGAAAAGCATTCACCTCATAGTTCTCCTTTAATCCATACCATTGGCAGACTCTTTTTTTTAAAGGCAAGAGAGAGTGGCTGCCATGTGGAATTTTATCCGACATTCACATGCAAACCTTAGAATTTTACATCTTGTTTACCCAAACCAAACTATTGGGGGACTAATTTCTAAGGGAGTGACTGCTGTATGGGATTATGCAATTTGAAATGGGCTAAGGTTTTGTAAATAGAAACAGACTATGCCACAAGAGTGGATAGGTTGTATAATAATTTACACCCAGATTTATGTGCTTTATATGGAAACTAGCCTGGAGGTCACAGAAATAAAGATTTACAGCAGACTGGATAATTTAAATGAAATACTTTGTACTGGATCATTAGAATGCTGGTGAAGAGGTAGAATTCATATAGATGTGTCGCTGTAACCAATAGCAACCAGTTGATTACAAGTATAGCCCTTTGCAATTTTGGAATTACACAAGGAGCATTGGTTCTGAAGGAAATAGCACCGGCTCCTTTATTGGAGATACTGTAAATGTGACTATATATGAAAATCTTTGAAGGCCTGGTACTTCCTGTACCAAGCCTGGGCCCCATTCCCTGAACTTCCTGTTGATTAGAAGGTCACAAGGGACAGCAGAGTCTCAAGCATCTGTCCATCTACTAGAATAGAGAAGGGTGGAGGGAGGAGGAACAGGGGAATGGCTTGCATTGCTATGCCTATGTGTTTGTGTAGACACACCATCCATAGGGAGAGGAGCCACACTAGAACAGAATATCAGGGCCAGTGCTCAGGGAACCGGCTGACTGCAGGAAACTAAAACTTTTAAACATCAAGAAGCAGCATTTATTTATTCAGCATTTGAAATAGAATTTAAAAAAAAAACTTTTGACTTTAATATCACTTTAACGACCGTCTGCAAACCTATAAATACTGAGAATGACTTTTAAGATATCATTAACATGGTAAATATTTGTATTATCTCAATAAAAATGTCAAGGGTTTTTTTTAAAACCATTCACATTTCTTGCTTCACTTATTGTGATCATCCCTAAACCAAACAAAGACCCACTAAACCACAGAACCTACAGACTCATAGCTCTTCTAAAATATGTGCAGCTAGCTTCTCAAATTGACTTCTAAGAAAGTTATTATTGGACAGGTTGCTTTTATCTCCAATGCATAAGACAGTTTTAGAAAAGTCCTGATTAACATTAATTCTGCCCAATATGAATCTGACCGCCTTTTAACTCTCACCCGGACATGTCAGAAACTTTTTCTAGCTTAATTAAGCCTTAAAGCTACATCAAGGGCATCACCGTCAAAATATGTCTAAACATTTTGCCCTGCTTTTTCTAGCAATAGAAACATTCGCTGTTTAAAATGTCCAGACATTCAGGAAAATGCAATTTATTAAAGAGCATACAAGTGGTGTGTTCACTTACGATCTAGTATTTACTTTAAAAAAGAGCTATGACAACTCATCTAAAAAAATATGCGATCTCCACCAAAATACAGCTTCCTTTAATGGGGTGGCAACAATGCTGCACTGCTCCTGAATTCAGAGCAGAGTTGCCACTCTCATGAAGACTGTGCGCGCTTGAACTACAGTGGGATCAAAAAATGTTGCAGAGGGCGTGTCTATCAGCTTTGTCACTTCTGATTCATATGCCTGTAGGCATGAACTGTCCGAAATCTGCTGTGTGGGGGCCACTGTTGGTACCCTTCCACCTGGCATTCCTCGATCAGCTGATCAAAGTAGCAGGTTGGAAAATTCTCAGCCAAAAGGAGCTAGCAGCCAAGCGGCTGCTGTGAGAATATAGTAGACACAGCAGGGGGTTCCTCCATGAACGCATAAGCCTGCAGGTTGAATTAAAAAAATAGAGCCATCTATACCCAGCTTCAGTTGTCAGTCAGCACCTGGCCACATCTAGTTCTACCCTTTGTTTTCTGGATAGACAGCACTGCCTCTATTGCTAAAACCCTCCAACTGGGACCTGCAGTATCTGGGAGGGGTAGAGTGTGAGATACAAATGTAGGATTTGGCTTAGTCAGGAAATTTAAAGGAAGTTTTTTATTTACTTTATGAGGCTTGCACATTACACAGTGATTTGACTTTGAACTTGTTTAGACTGTTAAATAGGAACCTTTAGTTGTACTTTTAGTCATTTGTGTGTCTTATTTCCTCATTTGTTACTAACACCTGTTTAATGAGATATCTGCTCTAACTCAGAAAAGTCTGAGGTTGTGTTTTGCAACACTTTACCCACATGCAAAAACTAACAAGTTTCAACTTTGAATTTTAATATAGAGAGTCACTTTAGTTATATATTATATTTAGCTAATGACTTACAATATTAACACACCCTAAAAGTGAAACTCTCCCAAGTCATACTGCCACTCTGAAATGAGCAGGCATTTTCCCTTTTTATCACAGGCTGGCAGCATGGGTTTGGTCAAAATGATCACATTAATGTATATTCTATATCCCTGGTAAATTCCAAATCTCAGACTTCTCCAATTACTTATATTTTGAAACCTGCACAATGACCACAACATAGCTCAGATCTCTTTCTCAGGTCAATGGAGTCACCACCATAAAGTACCCTAGAATTGTATCTATTCTTAGGTCTGCCTTAGGACCACTAATTACATACTTATAATTATTTATCCTACATTGTGAAAAAGCTTCAGAATGAGGTCTAAACCTCAGTCTTACTCTTCTATCCCACTGGAACTTCTCAAAAATCCATAATTCCTCCAAACTTCTTTGTCATTGGTAGACAGCAACTGGGCTACATAGATTGATCTGCTGTATAACACCTAATTACTACCTAATCCTATGGGAGCTATTAGCACCCTCACTATTCATAGACATTTAGCACATACCAGCAATTCAATTTCTTACAAACAATTAATCCAACTTCAGACTTATCTAAAATTACCTAAATTAATAAGCTGCAAAACGGAGTTATCTCTTCAATGTTCAAATGGATATTAAGCTTCAGAATATGACCCAGTGGGAAAACTACCTGTCTATAGAATTATACTTACTACTGTGGCATTATTGCTCAAGCTTAAAAGAGAACTATGGGGTAAGTGTTTTTCCCCAAAGTGTTTTTCCCCATAGTTCTCTTAAGGGTCACGGGAGGACATATACTAGCATCCTCCCGTGACCCAAAGCTCAGTATATTGCGAGCTACAGCTCGCGGTATACTTAGATTGCCGCAGCCGGGAAGGATCCCAACAATGCTGTTGAGATCCACCCAGCTGCGTGAATGACAACTGGCTCAGCCTATCTAGAGGCAGAGCCAGTTGCGCCCACCCCTTGCCCCGTCCGTTCCTCCAGTCAGTGCTGGAGGATGGGAGCAGGGAGGGGGGGAATCCCTGCGGGGAGCGGTGACTGACAGTCACCGTGCTCTGCAGGGAGATGATTGAGAAGTGAGCGAGTGACGGTATGTGTTCGCTCATTTCCCAATCTATTGAGCCAATGTGTGACAGTTTCATTGTCACATGTCGGCTAGAACTATGAGGTTGAGTGATTTTCACTCACCTCATAGTTCTCCTTTCAGTAAGAGATGTATCCAAGTAATACTGAAGACAACCTCCAGTGAAAAAGTATCGCAGTGTACAAGAAAACTTTGATATACAGGGTGGGCCATGGAAAAGTAGCCCGCCTCCAGCGATAGTACGACAAGATGAACAAGCAAGTGGATTGTTTTTATTAATTTACCCATAAGTTACAACAGATGCCAAAAGTGGTCTCCATTCACGACTATACACCTTTGGGCATGTCGGAGCATGTTGGCTGATACTGTTTGCAGCTCCTCAACAGTGATGCTCCGTATAGTGTTCGTCATGTTTTCCTTGAGTTTATTAAGGGTATGTGGATTGCTGGCGTACACTTTCTGCTTTAAATTTCCCCACAGATAAAAATCGCATGTGGACAAGTTCCTGACACCGCCCACCAAACGCCAATTTTCTTGTTGTGAAGTGGTGTTTCGTGAGTCAAGTGGGGATTTTCAGCGGACCAGTACCTCGTATTCTAGGAATTTACATGACTTGATAAATGAAACCAAGCTTCGTCCGTCATGAAGTACAGCAGTGGGTCCAAATGTCCATCAGCAATCATATTCAGCAACCAAGTACAGTCATTTACGAGTTTAACTTTGTCTGGCTCTTTCAGTTCCTGTACACATGTTATTCGGTACAGTTTGAGGTTCAGAGATTTCAGCACTCGCCAAAACATTGTTCATGATACACCAACTTGCTGAGATAGTCTTCGAGATGATTTTTAGGGGCTACTTGCAATCCGCTGCTGAATGTCACGGATGACTTTGGGCGTCCGGACTGATGGAGGCCTCGATTTCTTCATGTTTGAGACAGAGCCAGTTTGACGCCATTTTCGAACCAGACTATGAATACAATGTTTAGCTGGTGGTTTTATTCTTGGGTACTTGACGGCGAAGGCCTCTTACGTTTCCTTAATTGATCCGCTTTGCACATAGCCTTCCACAATCACTATTCGCTGTTCCAGGGAGAACACCATCTTTCTGACAGGATGTGCACACAATGACTAAATAGGAAGGCAAAATAAAGCCGGAACACTGCACACGGGGCGACACCACGTCGCCAGACAGAGAGCAAGGGGCTACGGCCTCCTCCAAACAGCGTGGCACCGGTATTGGATGCGGGCTACTTTTCCGTGGCCCACCGTGTATAATCATAGGACATTTAAAGCAATTTGCAAACTGTACTAGCCAGTGGCATGGAAGGTGAAGTGTGACCAGTAAGCACACCATAATCGAAAGCTGGGATTGTGATTAGCTGGAGGTCCTACCATTGTTAGGGTTTAGAAAGATAGCAAACTGCACTCTATGGCCAAGGATTTGATGAAACCTGACCACCTACATGAGCTTGTTGGACATACCATTTAAAAACCATGGGCATTAATGTGGAGTATCCCCATCTTTGCAGCTGTAATAGCCTCCACTCTTCAGGGAAGGCTTTCTACAAGTGTTTAAAGTGTCTGTTGGAATTTGTGCCCATTCAACCAAAATAGCATTTGTGAGGTCAGGTAACAATGTTGGACAAGAAAATCTGGCTCGCAATCCACATTCCAGTTCACCTAAAGGTATTTAATAGGGTTGAAGTCAGAGTTTTGTGTAGGCCACTTGAGTTCTTCCACATCAAATGTGCCAAACCATGTCTTTATGGACCTTGTTTGTGCACAGGGGTCTAGTCATGCTGGAGCAAAAAAGGGCCTTACGTTGCAGGCACAGGCACATATGTGAGTTGCAGGTCAAAGCTTATGGATACAGGTCTATTGAGAGACCTAAAGAAGCAAACCTTTGTGCAAAATCTGTTATTTCGAAAAAGATATAATTTTTCACAAAGTTTATGTAGCAACGTATGACCAGAACTCTAACACTGAAATCAAAGAATATAAATTAGAGGCAAAAAAACATGGGTATTAGTCACAACAAACAGACAAATGGTGTCATTTTTCCAGTGACGGTTTCAAGATGAATGCTGCATTTACTATCTGCTGTGAACAACAGTTCCACATATCATAACCTTTCCTCAGTTCTCATATATTAGAATAAATCATTTCACACTCAGTTAAGTCATAGCACATACTTTCTTTTCTTCTAAAGTCCTAATAGATCCATCTGTAAATGACAGCTTGAATTCCTCTGCACTGTAATATGCCATATGGTATTTCTAGTCAGAATGTTATTTGTGAACTTACCTGGAGCATTTCAAAGATGCTAAGTAAGAGCTCTCCCGAGCAGCCTGCCTGGCAAGAGAGAATAACTCCACCCTCCGCAGGAGCAAGGTATTATCCCTTATACAGCACTGAGCGGCTGCTTCATTTATTGTCAGCTGTAGAGGAAAAAATAGAAAAGATGGACAGGATGTAACACTGAATCTTTAGATCTTATCTGTACTACATAACATTTTCATGTTCATGCTACTATTAATAATTTACATGGTATATTTTATAATTACCCTATCCTTTATACCAGAGGTGTTCAACTTTTCACAACATGTACACCATACTCTATCAACACAGGTGGCATGGCGACACAATATGGCCCCCTTCAGATGGGTAGTCCGATTAGGTCCAACTGTTAATTTTTAGGCCGATCTGATCGGAAGCCCACGTTAGTCTATAGGCAGCCAGACCTAAATGGATGGGCATCTGCTTACATCTGATTACCACAGACTCCAGGTACAGTAATCACACAGAACAGAGGTCCGTTTTGGTAGACCTGATTGTGATGGATCGGGGGTAATCTGATGAAAGTGGACACATGTCCGTTTATATCCGACTCCCCACAGACCTAACATGGGTCAGGTAAGTCCAGTTTTTTTCTCCATCACAAGATGGAGGAAAAAACTAGACAGACACGGATGTCACATCGGTGACATCCATTTTTAACGGCTCCAATCAGCATGAGATCCATTCCCAGACAGCTTTCTATGTGACAGTATGCATGGGTTCACATTAGAGATCCTTATGGCTTTTCTGAGGGGTCCACTTAGTGATCAGATGACCAGAAGGTCTAACAGAACCAAAAAAGTAGAAAACGATTACAGTGACACTGTTACCTATCTAACAGCTACTCCCTGTAAAAAATGTACAGTAAAGGCTTACCTCTCTTGCTGCCTGTGCCGTGGAGACCAACAGGAGGAACCACTGAGCACTGCGGGAAACACAAAGTTGACTTACCCAGAAGTATTGGTTTCCCAGCAGACTGCACAGGAAACTTCCTCATCGGCGGGAGAGATACATTTTTACATTCTTGATTACAGGAAGCAGGAACTTTATTTGCATTTTTAGATTGTCAACAGGAACACATTACACTATTGCTTTATGTTAAAAAATCTGAGGGTTTAATGTCACTTTAAGGAATTTTACAAAGGCTGGAAAATATGTGTGCATTACCTGGATGGCTAGTAAGCTGCAGGAGTCAGGAGCTAGCTAGTCAAATCTAGGAGCCCACAGTACCTTTTTGAGGCGAAAGCAGGATGGACATACACTGAGATTACCCAAACCAATCAATCAGAATCCAGCTGTCATTTTCTCATGCAAAAAAAAAAGAGGTGGGTATCGGACTATTTTTTATATGGGTAAATCCAATATTGTTCCTTCATCTCACATATACTATTCTGTTAAAAAAGAAGAATGAGATGTGATGGTATATAGGACACTGTTCGTTGGTCATCTATACTCTGTTTATTGTACTAGCCCATATTCATTTAACCTATGATTTAATTTACTAAAAGTGAAGTGAGGTCAAATGGAGTAAATGATTCAGTCATACACAGGTAAAATGGTAAAAACAGAGCTTCTACATCACATGATCAAATGTTAGAGATTGCAATTGTGCTTTATATCACTGCATACAGTAATATAGCAGGCCAACACTCACATCATCTTTTCATGATTTAGTAAATGAGCCCAGTAAGCTATATAGGATATGTCTCTGTGTAAAAAAAAACCTGTAAAATTTTGACTAGTTATATTACAGCAAAGGGCCAGGTAGTTCTGTTCCTGCTCTCCGAATACTACTACAACGAGCATACTCTTCTATCTGCCTTTCTACTAAAAGAGCTGTCCTAATAGAAGCTGCCAAGCAGTATGCACAACAGAGCTGAAAACAACACAATCTCAAACAAGCATCTACAAAGTCAGCTGTGGTGATGTCTATGACTATCTGTTGTCATTCTGGCACAGAGTACATACATATTGTAGGCTGTTACTGAGCATTGCTCAACAGATTTATACTGAAACCAAGCAAAAAATCTTACATTATAATATCTAAAAACAGACTTGTGATTTACACATGAGCTGTGTCACCACTAATGGAACTGACATGATGTCATGTTTTGCAGTTATGTTAGACTGTGCTCTCCTTCAGCTATTTTTATGTTTGCTTTTGGTCTATCAATGAGTGGTTGTAAGAATGAATTCTATGCAGGTAAGTGCACATTATTCAACATCATATTTTATTATCAGCACAGCACAATTCAACCCTTCCAGATAAGTTTGCCTAAAGGTCGATAGTGACTGGGACTTATGGATGAATAGATGTCATTGTGTTTGGTTGACAAATCTCTTTGACCCCTCTGGCCACTCACTACAAATCTATACGTTTTGTAGTGGAAACTTTTTTTAGGTCGATAAACTCAGTCAGAGAAGTACAAGCCATTGGGATGTAGTAGCTCCACAGTCTTGGGGCACTTGGGGATCTTGTCACCCAGACAGAGGTAAGGATGTCAACGTCCCCACCCACAGCCAAGCCATGCTGAGGTTTTGCAGCAGGAGCTCATTTGCAGGTCTCACTTTGGCTTTGTTGCTTTTTCTTGAAAGAAAAGCTTTTCTCTAAAATGCATTCTTCTGTAGAATGCAAGGGGAATGAAGAGTTCATCTTTAACTTAAAAGAGAACTATTGGGTAACCTTTTTATCCCATAGTTCTCTTTACAATCACAGGAAGACATATACTAGCGTCCACCCATGACCCAAAGCTCAGTATATAGCGGGCTATTGCCCGCCATATACTAAGAACGTCAGAGCCGGCACGGATCTGGACAATGCTGTTGAGATCCACCCAGCTGCGTGAGTGACAGCTGGCTCTGCCTATCTAGAAGCCGAGCCAGCTGTGTCCGCCCCCTCCCCTGTCCGTTCCTCCACTAAGCACTGGGGGATCGGAGTCGGGTAATCCCTGCGGGGAGCTGTGACCGACAGTGACCGATCTCTGCAGGGAGATGATCGGGAAGTGAGCGAGCGATGGTATGTGGTCGCTCAATTCCCGATCAATAGAGCCGACTTGTTTCAGTTTCAATGTTACACATTGGCTCTAACTATGAGGATAAGTGTAAATCACTCACCTCATAGTTCTCCTTTAATTAACCCTGTCTGTACTGCGCTGGCAGATCTAGTTAAATGACTCTTTCTAACAAAGGGTTAAAGATCTAGAAGCCTTGTATATTAATGAGTGGAAGCTCAGAGTGTCCCTAGCAGGGGCATCCCAGGGCCGGGTGTCACCCAGAGTGGGTTCTGGGTGACACTCTGCTGTGCCATAATCATGCATGCGTGTGACATCACCACGTGCGTGCGCAATGACATCATCGCATATGCGACGCCATCTTGCCGATACCTGCCGCCGGCCATCTTGGTGATGGATGCTGGCAGAGAGAGGAGGGGACATTCACCCGGTGGGATAAGGTATGCCGCTGGGTTCCCTCCTTTCTCCTGCAACTGTCAAGCTCTCGGTGAGCGAGTGCCCTACTGCCCTACATGACCGAGTGCCCTACTTTTCAGAGGGAGTGACACCAAAATGACTGTTAGTCTTTTTGTTAGCATTGCTCCTCAGCCATCAATCAGATTCAAACTTTAATTCCAAAGTGGTTGTCATGTTACACATTGTGTACACATAGGCCTTTAAGATTATAAGGCTTATTCATTCAGCTGCCGAAGGCAGCCGAGTGAATAACCGAGCCAAAGTGAACTGAGCCAAACAGCGTTCAGCTATTCATTTCGGCTCTGTATGGCTGATTTCAGCTGTACATCGGGTAAAATCAGCCGTACATCGGCTGCCTTTGGTTGATGTGGAGAAGCCGTTTGACTCAGCCGATCCAACATCTGGATCGACTAAGCCGAACCTCCGGCAGTTTACTCGCTGCCGTTCACCCCTATTCTCACAGGGGGCAAACGGCAGTGAGTGAATAGTCGAATGCTGGAAAAGGACCTTGTCCCTGTGCCAATGGAGACAAGGACCTCTTTCCCACAAGCCCTGAGGCGTTCGTTGTGGGGGTCTGCGGGCACGGGGGCTTATTTGCATCGGTGTACCCCTTCAATAAAAGGGCACCCAGATGCAGCCCCTCCCCTTGTGAATGAGTAAGGGGTACTTGTACCCCTACCCCTTCACTAAAGGGTTAAATAAAAGCTAAATAAAAAGACCACACTTTGATCAAAAATCCTTTAATTGACATAAAAGCACAACAAAGGATTTTTGACAAGTCCTATATTTAAAAAAAAAAAGATCCACGACGACGACTCCGTGAAATACATTTTTAAATAATAAATAAATATAAACGGTGCCTGCCAACCTGACCGCATGGGATGAACTCCCGCCACAGAATAAGGATTCTGACAGATGGCGGCAAAATATAAACAATTGGGCGGAACTAGTGGCATTATCGCCAGCTCCGCCCAACTGTTTACATTTCGCCTGCACCTGCCAGAGGCTTCACACAGGTCCCGGGCAAATGAAAACAACTTGGCGGAGCCGGCCGCCTCCACCTAGGTGTCATTCGCAAACCGTGCTCCCCGCTTCGGCTGTCACTACGGTTCAGCTGAGCCAAAGTATATGCGTTTGGCTCAGCTGAGCCGCTCGGCTGCTGTTTGGGCTTTTGTGAATAGCCTGTACAGCAGCCCTTCGGTTCGACTGAACCGAAGGGCTCCGGCAGCTGAAGTGAGCCGAAGGATCAGCTGAAGCTAAGGCAGAATCCTTTGTCTCTTTAGAGAATAACCCTCTATTTGTTTCATCTGTCTCTGGTATTTGTCTCCACCCCTCCCCATAGTTCAGGTTTTCTGTGTAGATAGCTCCACCCTTCCTCATTATGTTCCAGTCTGCATCTTATCCACATGCCCTTTGCTGAGTGGCTCACATTATGATCTTTTGAACTATCCAATGTTTGCTGTTGTAAAGATATGCACAGTTTGTATTGAACTTCTCAAGGATCCTTAAGGTGTCATTTGGGCTGAGTCACTGTGTGCCAACTCTACTGAGATTGTGAGTTATAGCCATCTCGCCACAACTATAAATTTACAAAGATCACACTTTCAATGCTTAAGCTGGCCATACACCTATAGGTTATCTGCAGAGTTTCTATGGTCAGATGGGAAAAGTGCAACAGATTCCTCCAGCTACGCTAAACTGTGTGGATGGAGTAATCTCCCACTGGGCCAAGCTTTAGTATTCTGCTAGTCGGCCCCGCTGGCTCTCAAAATACCTGAACAATCTGATTGGATGCAGGCATTTCCCACTTGCTATTTAAATTGCACCTGTGCCCAGACAATTGGACATTAAACGGCCGCCTCCGCCAAGTTGTCATTGTTTAACCTGGGGACACTGATCTGTCATTGCAACTGGGCAGAGCCAGCCGTGAGATCACGGCTGCCTCCGCTCAGCTGCGGCCCGCTTCGAGTTTCACTTCGGCTCAGTCGAGCCAAAGCATATGCCTTCGGCTCGGCTGAGCTGCTCGGCCAGCTTTGAGAGTTGTACGGGCTATGGTGAATAGCCCGTACAGCAGGGCTCAGGCGGCCGAAGCTAGCCTAAGGATCAGCCGGAGCTATGGCTGATCCTTCGGCTAGCTTTGTGAATAACCCTCCTGGTCTTCAAGTGGTTAAGAAGAAATGCGAGTTGAAAATTCTTGTTGATCTATTTTGAGTGGTTGGAAGGGAAGGTTCTAAACAGTAATGCTTATCTGTTCTCAAAGATCATATTTAAAAACATGCTCTTTATATTCTAAACCCACTTATGAAAACATTTGAAATATGTGTTCATTTTGTCATTTTTCATGCAGTAAGTCTTGATTTCTTTTTAATCCTATATTCAAAAATTTACAGTTTGATTTAATTTTTGGTCAGAGATACGCAGAACTTAAAAATAAATGTATTAAGCCACATTAGATGTATTCAATAAGACATTGCAATGAGCAAATCTAAACAGTAAACTCCGGAAGCCCTGCAGAAACCAATCAGATTTTTTAAAGTCAAATACCGATTTAACTGTGATAGTATAGTTGGTTCTTTGTCTTTTTGAGTTCATTATTTTAATTCTCTTTATCAAAGATGGAGAGCAGCTTCACCAACCTCATGCAGTGTGAGTCTCTTTCCTTCACGTCTCTTGGAGTCACTCCTTCCATATATAGCACTGTGCCTTCTAATCTCCCTCTCCTTCCTGGGCCCTCCATCCGCCATGTGAAAGATATGGCCCAATGACCGCCCCAGTTTTTTATTTATTTTAAGCATGGATCGTGCCTCAGCTATATCACCACGAGGCAAGCCTTTCATCAGCCTCTCCACACTGTCAGATATCACCTGTACCATGTCAGGGTCTAACCTTTCACCTCCTGTGCCATACTGCATTCCTCTCCCATCATCATCATCATCCACATCATCGTCATCTGCTTCATTTTGATCTGGAGAAACCTGCACTGTCCAAGTTCTGCAGTCCAGTTCTATAGGTGATCTCTTCTCATGCTGCTCCAACTGCTCTGGAACACCAAAACTTGCAATGGTCTTGTTTAGGCTTTCAGAATGACCAATGACTCCATTACATTGTCTCCCAACCCTCCCCGTGGTTTCAGATATCTTGAATAAAGGTATGCTGGTGCTCAGAGGGACATTTCCCAAAGGTGGCTGGTTAAACAGTCCTGGATTAGTAGCCCAGTCTCTTAAGGCTTTCTGTAATCTTCGAACATGGAGAGGCTTTGTTGCCATGCCAACCAAAGACATGATCTCCAAGAACTCATCTTCTCCTGCTTCACATAGCTGTTGCACATCATCGCCACCCTGCTGGATGAAGGTGTCATAGTAGCCCAGTAAGTTGGCTCTCTGCAGGACACGATACAGCTGCAACTCACCCAGGGTACGAGGAAGTGAAGATGTGTCTGCGCAGATTCTGCAAATTAAACAAGAATACATCATATTTTAAAAATGGTTGCAACTGCATTGTGCAAAAAGCATTGGAAGATAATGTAAATAGATTTCAAGAAACAAAGCAATCTTAGCTTATTATTAGAGAGACCAGGTCACAAAATTAAAATATTGCAGTTAAAGCACAGAATCAAAACATGAATTTAAAATGGTTATGCGCAGTGGGTTTTTTTTTATTTCCATAAATTATTTTGTATTTACCTGCAAAGTGCCTTTGTACTTGCTAGAGAATAAAACTACTCCAGAAAGAGTCATTCACCTACCACAGTCCCTCCCTCCTTGCACGTCATTCCCTTCTCCTCTTCTGAGAGAGTCTAATTAATTTATGTGCTGGCCCTGCTACTCTGCCCATCCCTTTACCTCCCTACATAACCCTTTATGTAACTGCCAGGGAAGTAGGGAAGGGAAATACTACAGAAGTACTACTTAAGAGTATGCTATTATACCACCTTTCACACAGCGCAGCTCCCACTTTGGAATAAAAACCAGAATCACAGCCCTTGTCTGATTTGTCTCATAAGCCACTTGCTGCCAGTAAGTCACGTTCCCGTTTTGTTCAATGTCTATTTTCAGAATTCATAAATTACCATTTCTCTTCTGAAGTTCAGCAGGGATGGGCTCAACGTTCGTGTCGAGCATTAGTTCGACTCGAACATTGGCAATTCAAGTGTTCGGCAAACACACGAACTGTCAGGGCGTTCAAAGGGCTATTCCCCCACTGAGCTGCACAGTGACTTGTTAGCCCTGATTGGCTAAAGCCTTGCATCTGAACCCCCATCCATGATATTTAAAATAATTTTTCATTTTTATTGTTTCACTTTAAGCAATGTTAAAATCACTTCACCTTTAAAAACTGTTTTAAAGTGTTTTTTTCATTGATACATGTTCCCCAGGGCAGTACCTGAATCCCCATACCCTTTTTATGGCCAATAAATTGCATATAAGTCTTCAAAATGGGGTCAATTGATTTTCAAAGTGCTAGCCCCATAGACTTGCATTGAGTTCGAGTTCAAATTCAAACTTTTCCCATGTTCTAAAGTTCGAATTCGAACCAAACACAGGGGTGTTCGGCCCATCAGTAAACTGCAGGCATGTAATCACTGAACATCCCAAACTGCTAGTAGAAATCAGCCCCTGCATTCATCAAGCTACACTATAGAGAACGAGGAAAGAATTAGGGTTCTCTGTAGATGTGAATGCTGCTTATTACAATTTCCTCTCTGGATGTACATGGGATCGGGCAGTGGGCACAGCTTGGCAAAATTTATAGAGCTGTTTGACTAAAGTAGTTTGTGATCTTGGTAATTAGGAGGGGCAAGTGCTACAAAAGGTAATAATTGTGTGGGAGGATTTATTGGAAGAATTGAAAGTACTGTTATATCGAGGCGGAATAGGCCTCCCTGAAGAGATGAGTTTTCAAGGATCGCCTGAAGGTGGACAGTGTAGGAGATAAGCGGACAGATTCGGGTAGGGAGTTCCAGAGAATGGGAGACACTCTGGAAAAGTCCTGGAGGTGAGCATGCGAGGAGAGCTGGAGAGTCTTGGGAAGAGGGAAGGCTGGTTTGGGTGATATTTTGAGATGAGGTGGGTGATGTAGGTTGGGGTGGATTTGTTATTGTTAGTATTTTGAATTTTATAGGTTGGGGAAGTGGAAGCCAGTGGAGCAATTGGCAGAGGGGGGTGACAGACACTGATCGGTTGGTAAGGTAGATGGGTATGGCTACAGCGTTTATAATGAACTGAAG